CTGGGAACAATACACAACTACTACACTATAAATCATATTTCATAACTAACAATATTACAAAATACTTTCATAAATGAGGTGGTAATTCAAATTAATAAATCTACAATAATGTATAATACTAGTCTGTGTCTCGTACGTTGCACGAATTTTGTATTTATTTTGGTTTTATTAGCGTAAATTTTATAGATTGTACAAAAAGTATTTGAAAATAAGAAATGTTTGTTTGATTCTCATCTTTTGATCGACTGTATATTTTATGTCACGATAATTTATTTTTATTATTATAAATAAGTATAACGAATGTTGTGATTGTATATATGTCAACAATAATTTATTTTTAATTATTTATTGTATTTTTTTGTTTAATGTAGATGAAGATATTTTTTTTTATCTGATATTGCAAATAAGTTGTAAATTGAATTTTGCAAAATGTTTTTCTTTAGCAACTTCAATTTGAGAGGTTATACTTGTAGTTCAAAAATAACTCGTGTAGTTGTAAATTGAAAGAGAATATCCACATACAAAAACATTTAAGTAACAAACTCAGGTTCGCACGTAAAATAACTTGAAGTAGCACTTACTGGATGACCAACTCCCTTGTTGGTGTAAGAATTAGAACCCTAATAGCAGGCCTATTTTTTGGACGATACAATAGTCACTCCAAGGTTGGTAGGGTAAAAGAATTTAAAAAATTTAAATAAATTTTATTTGAAAGAGAAAAGAATTAAAAAGAAATTTAAATAAATTGATAAAAAACAATTATTTATAAAGTAAATTTTTCAATTTTCATTAAATAATATTTATATATTCTTCATTTAATTTTCATAACTTTATTTTATTTTTTACTTCTAAATAATTTTAAACGAATTTTTTTACTTATATAAGTATTTTTTACATATATTAGAAATATTTTCTGTTAATATGTTTATTTTTAAATTTTTTTTTTTACTAAAAGTGATTTTTTTTTTACTTATAAAAGTGGTCAGCACGGAGTAAGGCGAGAGGTATGGAAAGTTGCGTGTTACATAGATTCACATTGCCTCTCTTACATTGTATATATAATATAATAATTTAAACAAATGAGTTGATTTGAAAAAGCGTGGCCATAGCGTATGAAAATGGAGAACGGAAAAGTAAAAAAAAAAAAATTTTGAATAATCCTCCTTACATGGAGATCACACTATATATAATTTTTTTAATTCTTTTCTCTTCAATTTTTTTAACTTACAAATAACTTTTCGTTAAAATTGAAAAATTAAGTTTTATTTGGAAGAGAAAAGAATTAAAAAGAAAAAAATAATTGATTTTTTTTAAGAAAAACGACTTATACGCATTTCTTAACACATACGTTTAATCTCCGTTTAACTATTTTCGATATTTATTTAGATCATTCGATATCTCTACGATATAGTTCTTAAAATGAGTTTCGAGAGAATGTAAAACATTTATCAATTCGACTATCGTACAATCGTCGATGAATTTTTAAAGTTAGCTTATTATCGAAAATTTCAAAATATAATTTGAAAATACTTACTTTGACATCCCATTAAATTTGCTACGATTAACCGTTTCATGCACCGTTAACGACTTACAATATTATGCCGCGAGTACTTCAAAACGATATTAATAATGTAATATTTCGATTTCGTTTGATATCCTGTAATGAGCTTGAAAATGAACACAAAAACATAAGTTAAAAAAAAAAAACTTATTTCTCTCTCCGTGCACGGAGAGCTATGGTCTTCGTGCACGGAGCCTTTGGGCCTCCGTGCACAAAGTCCTTCCTAATATTTATTATTATTATTATTATTATTATTTCCTTCGTGCACGGAGACACTGTTTCCGTGCACGGAGAGATTATTTTTTTTTTGCTGTGTGGTTTTACGTTAAATTTTTTTTTTTCAATTTAAAATTATCTTTAATTCTTTTTCTCTTCAAATTTTTTACTTACAAATAATATGTTGTAAAAAATTTTTGTAGCATATTATCTCTGTCTTTTTATTTATTATTATTTTTTTTTATAAAAGTGATTTTTTTCTTATATCCCTACTATATATATCTATATCGGAGTGGGGGAGAAATGGAAATTGCGTGTTGCAGTAAATTTAGAGGTAGTGTATAATAAAATAAAATATATATTAAGCAAACGGCGTCGTTTTGGCTCCCAATTGAAAAAAAAAAACAAAAATTCTACAATAAAGATGGATCAAGACACTGTTGCTTTCTATAGTGCCCTCATATTCCCCTTTTTATATAGTAGGGATATAGGAAACAATCACTCTTCTCTCTCCCCCTCTTCTCCCTTCCACTTTCTCTCTTCACCCACTATTGGAGCTTCTCTTTACCACCAACCACTGAAATCGCAGCAGCATTGTGGCAATTTTATGCAGTAGTCCCCATTCTCTTCTCCTTTTCTCTTCACACCCACCCACTGGAGGGGCAACAATGTCATGGCAATGTTGAAGCATCGTACGTCGAACAAATTGCACTCAACAAACTCATAACAGAACCTAGAATTCGACCACTAGTGGTGAATGCAAACTCAAGCACAATTATGAATTTTTTGAATGGCTAACATATCCTTAACAATTTGAGGGAATCTTATATTTATTTGCATTCAGTTTCCACCAAACTAAAAGTAACATGTCGAAACTGCTCATTGGTTAAGTCTTCAAAACAACATTTTAAATAATCTACAAATCATTCTAAGTAAAATCTAGAAACTAAGAACTTGTTTGGTGGTGATTATGAGAATTGATTTTTTTTACCGTTAGAGAACAAAAGGGGTCCCACCTATGAGTGAAGAAGTAAAAATGATGGCTATAATAGTGAAAAATGGTAAAAAAATTGATTTTTTGGAATGAAAAATTACTACCAAACGTGGCTAAGTTAAAATTTAAATAATTAATTAAGTGACTAACCAAAAATTGAGATGCAAAACAACATAATTATCAATAAAATACCACAAACAATTACTAAGAACAAAAAAAATTCTGGATAAAAATTGACCTAAAAATTTAACTGATATTCGAGAAAATTATTAGTAGATGAAGAAAATGTGAGTTAATCAAAATCTAGATTTAATTATCTACATAATTATAATGAGCAATCAACAAATATGATTCAGTAATAGTAGTTCAACGCTTCATCCACTTTTGAGGTTTTGCAGTAACGTTGTATTGACTTAAATTAAAGATTATGATGATTTGTCAAAGACGTTTATCAAATTTATGAGTAGGATGAACGGTCTCCAATACATATTTGAGTATGCTTTAATTAATTAATTGAAATAAATAATGATCTATTTAGGTATTAAGTTTAACTGGGTTATATCTAATATATGTGTATCCTTTTTAATTGTGATGTGTTTAGTTTTAATTGAGGTTGATAAAATTTAGATTAATTTATTTTCAGTTTTTTTTTTTTGGGGTTAAGGAAAACTATTTAACGTTTGAAACGTAAATCAAATCACTTCAAAACGATTTGATTCGATTCAAAATCAAAACGTCGATAAATCCACAATTTCTTTTTCGATTTCGATTTGACAACTTCTTCGTTCAGCATATTTGTGGGATCCCTAATTATAAGTACACCTAACAAATCACCACCAGATGGCTACTCCCCCAGAGGTCCATTGCCCAGGTGTCATTTAGTTGATTTATAGACTTTGACACGTTTCTACCACTTCAAGGAGCCAGTTTATGAAATTAAAAATCCAATTTGAATTTTAACTCCAAGAGTACTATGCCCCAAATTCGTTTGAATAAATTAAACTTTTTAGTAAACTTCAATAAAATTAATGAAATGTATAATTAAAATATTGATAAATATTATGAATTCTAAAAAATATGTTATTAAAAATGAATTTTAAGGAAGATGGGTCAAACGTGGCTAAATTTTGCATACAAAAATGTTTGATAACTTGTTGAAAATTAACAACCAAGTAACGAAAATGTATATTTGATTTGAACTATGTAAATGTAATCACATATTTGTTGGATAAAACTCTTTTGTATCACAAGAAAATGATCTATTATAAGTATGGATTAAAGCCCCCGTTTGATCCTCATTTTTTTATAGTGAAAATGAGCGAAATAATGTTTGTTTAAAAAATGAGTGGTTGAAAAAGAAGGAAAAATTTTCGATTTACGTGTAATAGTATTTTATGAAAGATTGTGTGATTGAAAATAGAAGAGAAAAAATAAAATGTAATGAAATGTAATTTAATGGAGGTCAAACGGGGACAAAATGATCTATTGCTCATATTGAACATAATTACACCCGTTGAGTCTTGTTGTCAAACTTGCAAGTCAAGTTTTTTTCTTTTGAAAAGTTAAAAAGTACGACTTAGCCCTCGTTTGACCCCCATTATCTGAAAATGAAAATGAGAGGAATAATATTTTTTAGAAAAATGAGTGATTGAAAAAGAAAGAAAATTTTTCGATTTACGTGTAATATTATTTTATGGAAGTTTGTGTGATTAAAAATATGAGAGATAAAAATGAAATCTAATGTAATTGAATTTAATGGGGATCAAATGGGAACTTAATCGTAGATGTGAGGATGCCACATCAGCAATGAACAATTGTTTTCATGCTCACTTTGGACAAGAGTTGAGATCAGCTCTGCAAGTATAGTTACTTAGCCTCTGTTTGGACTTCATTATTTAAAAATTATATTTTTCTATTTCTTATTTTTATCACATATTTTTCAATAAGATAATATTATATATAAAAATAATTATATATTTATTATTATTATTTTTAATCTTTCAACTATACATTCTCCAAAAAGTACTATCCCAATATATATTTTCTTCCAAAATCACATTCAAATGGATCCTAAACATGGGCTTAACATGTATTATTGTGATCACTTTAGTCCTCGTTTGGCCCCCATTTTTTGAAATGAAAATGGATGGAATAGTTTTTTTTTAAAAAAATAAGTGGTTAAAAAAAGAAAAAATTTCGATGAGAGGAAAATAAAATAAAATTTAATGGGGCCAAACGACGGCTTAATTAATTGGTGAATGGTATATCCCACTAATTATTGAACGGATAAGACCGACACGGATTAATCGCTTCTCTCCCATGGGAGAAAGCTTTTGATTCGTCTATAAAGTGGACAAATCTACAAAGGATTGCACACAGAGTGAGAGAGTCGTTTCATTTCACTGTCGTTTATATAGAAATCTGTCAAGCGATATAATGGCGATGAAGCGTGTAGCTACTTCTGCAATTCGTGCTTTTAATTCTTCAGGAATTCCATCTAGTTCTTCAATTTTCACCAGAGAACTCCATGTAAGTCTTCTTAATTTGAATTTTGATCCTTCGAGCTGAATCCCCTGTTTAATTTTGATAATCGTCTACTTACTTTTTTAAGCTCAGTATAATTGAATTCTGTAATTGCTGCATCGACTTTTTGAGGATCAACGGCTGAAGATGCTATCGATAATTCCTTTACTTTTCCGGGCTCTTGTGATTTGTTTCAAATGACGGCGTGTAATTAATTTTATTGTGTATAAAGTTGAACATTGATTACTTATCACGGTTTATGCTAGATTGTTAACGTTTGGTACATTTGTAGCATAATCACTTGGCTGCTCAAGATATTTCTATTTGCCAAAATACTAGAACACGACTCATTTATTGAAGCTTATCTGTAACGTTTGACTCAGCTTAAAAGTAGGTAAAATCTTACATTTCAAAAATAAGTTGAAATGCTGTCCTAAGCACCGATGACATGTCACATCATTAATTAATGAATAAGTTAATAGTATGTAAAATGAATTTTCACCAATTAATTGATGCATCATGTCATCGTTGCTTAACATATAGGAGATCATTACTGTCAAAATAAGTGTTTTGAAAGTAGCTTTTACATAATTATTTTTGACTAATATTTTTTTTTTTATAATTTTGAATTTACTTGAGAAAAATTTACTTGTAATTAAACATTTTAGCTTAGTTAAACATGGCAGCAACATCCAAGTTTGTGTTCCTCTTCTGTTGCAATGACTTGTATTCTAGCAGTGATGATTTCTTTATATGCAAACAGGCAACACCTGGGAGCAAGAAGATTGTTGGGGTCTTTTACAAGGCAAATGAATATGCATCCATGAACCCAAATTTTCTGGGATGCGTTGAGAATGCATTGGGTATACGTGATTGGTTGGAATCACAAGGTCACCAGTACATAGTTACTCCTGACAAAGAAGGGCCAGATTGTGGTAACTAGTCACACACAAGAATTTCCTCAAAATTTACTAAATTAGATATTGAGTTAGTCCGGTGCAATACTATCTTGTCAACCAGTAAGCTATATTGACAATTGTATGTTTGGTAGCATCATCCGATCTTGTATAACAAACATGACCTATATGTTCAAATTGTTCTAATATGAGTCAGTCTAGAGCTTTCGAACAAGAATAAATCAGGCTTGATTGTTTGTATGTGGGTTGGCAGCTTATGTTCACGAGCTACCTAAACAACTTGGATATCGAAAAACAGAGGCATCTACAACCATATTGTACAATTGTTTGGATTACTGTTGTGTACCTACACAGGATTATTGGAAGTGTCACAAATGAAGATAGATTTGCTGCCATACCGTGAAGACATGTTATTTTTCATGCTTTGAGTTCTACATTGTTTACTATATGTTATTTCATGCTTTGAGTTCTACATTGTTTACTATTTAATTTATTGTGTTAAAATGTCTTTTGCAATGCTTCGTTTGCAGAGCTTGAGAAACATATTCCTGATCTCCATGTGCTGATAACGACCCCCTTCCACCCAGCTTATGTTACGGCTGAAAGGATTAAGAAGGCAAAAAATCTGCAACTGTTGCTCACAGCTGGTATTGGCTCAGATCATATTGATCTGAAAGCTGCAGCTGATGCTGGTTTAACTGTGGCAGAAGTCACCGGAAGCAATACTGTATCAGTTGCAGAGGATGAACTTATGCGGATTCTCATTCTTGTTCGGAATTTCCTTCCCGGATACCATCAGGTTACTACTGGCGATTGGAATGTTGCAGCTATTGCTCACCGAGCTTATGATCTTGAAGGCAAGACCGTTGGAACGGTTGGAGCTGGACGTATTGGCAAACTTTTACTGCAGAGATTGAAACCTTTTAACTGTAATCTACTCTACCATGATCGCCTTAAAATGGATCCAGAGTTGGAGAGTCAATTAGGAGCTAAGTTTGAGGAAGATCTTGATGCAATGCTTCCAAAATGTGACATAATTGTCATCAACACCCCTCTTACTGAGAAAACAAAGTAAGTTTATTCTTCTTTCTACTCTCAAATTTTGAGCAGATCCTCATTAATTAGCATTTTTAAATGCATTCCTCAGCATGACACGAGGCACACAAACTTATCCGAACTTTATTCTGTGTTTCAGAGGGATGTTTAACAAAGAAAAGATAGCTAAGCTGAAGAAGGGAGTTCTAATAGTAAACAATGCTAGAGGGGCTATCATGGACACACAAGCAGTCGCTGATGCGTGCTCCAGTGGGCACATTGCAGGTACTTTGAAACAAAAATATTGCGTAGTGGATTTGGAATTGGAAACGACTCCATTCTCAATGTTTTAACGAGATCAAATCTAACGCCCCAAATTCCTTACACCACAAATCATATTATCTGCTCTATTGTATTCTAGGAATGAAAGAAGATGTGCTGGTGTGTTTTCCACTCTTAAAACTATACTTCCATTGTTAATTCAGGTTACAGTGGGGATGTTTGGTACCCGCAACCAGCTCCAAAGGATCACCCCTGGCGTTACATGCCAAACCAAGCTATGACCCCTCACATATCTGGAACAACCATCGACGCACAGGTATTGGTTTATTTATTTCACCGTGCTTGTTTAAAATTTCTTAAATTAAATTAAGCTGTGGGTCCCACAAAATTGTGGATAACAAATGGGCAGTAAATTGTGGGTCCATAGAATGTGTGAATAAAAAAGTTTATTTCACCGGCTTAATTTAAGCTTTGCCAAACATGCACTTTGTCTCATCTAATGAAAGATGTAGAAATGTATCACTAGCATATTGAAACCTTGTGTAACCATGGTGTTGCAGTTGCGGTATGCAGCCGGCACCAAGGACATGCTCGAGAGGTACTTCAAGGGAGAGGATTTTCCTCCACAGAACTACATTGTCAAGGACGGAGAACTAGCCAGCCAGTACCGTTAAGATGCCTCAGCTTGTCAAGTTTGATCTCTGTAGGTCGTGTCATATGTAGCAGTTTGCTACTTCAATAAATCGACCTTGTCAGTAATAATTTCCATCGCAGAAAGTAGTTGCGAGAATTGTTTTGTATGGATCATAAATTTGAAGTATGACTGTGTTGCTTAAATAAATTTCAAAGAAGATTAAAGTGAGTGGGTGAAGTAGAGAGCTCGGTGTCACGGGCCTAGTTTTGTTACACCCGAACAACTAGAACCGTGCGGCCTTAACGTTCTACAATTCCTGCACCTCACGAGAAAACGTTAAGTCAGCCTTTTCACGCTCACAAATAATTTAACCAAGGAGGCTAAATTATACCCACGTTGAGAGGAGAATTTTGAAGTAAAGGATATATGAAAAACAAGTAAGGTCGGGAAACTTTCTTTGTATATATGAAAGGGAAAACTTTACAATCTCTCTAATGAATAAACTCTCTTCACTCTTATATTCTCTACACTTTCTAACCTCTACTCCATACCATTTACAAATGAGAATACCTCTCTATTTATAGAAAACTTAAACCTCCTTAACCTTCCACTTTACAACTTGCGCTTGGTTGTCGCCACCTCGTGCTTGGTTGTCGCCAACTCATTCTTAGTTGTCTTCAAGTGGATGGTATTACAACTTGCATTGCAAGTTGTCGCCAACTCGTGCCTAGCTTGCATACAACTCGCGCCTAGCTTGCACCGTTGATATTTATCCTTGCCAACTCGTGCTTAGCTTGCATACAACTCGTGCTTAGCTTGCAAGTGGCCCACAAGTGGACAAGTTGTGCAAGTTGTCCACTTGCATCCTCAAAATATCAGGCTGCAGGTCCATGTATTTTTCCTCTCAAAATGGCTGGGTCGGGACTTACAAAAACCTCATTAATGCCCTGGAAAATTACACGATCTAGGCAGCCTGCATTCTGCCCCAAAACAGTCTACTTGCGTCCCCAGCCTGTGTCGACCTACATCCCTTGCCGAATCTGCTTGCGTCCCCTATCGCAAGCTATTCCGTCCTTTTGAAACGCGTTACCCGCGCCATCTTGCGATCGCTACCGGGACGAATCGAATACGATCGCGTGAGGCATAAGTCACTCCCCCACTGAATTTGACGATGCACTCATCGCCATATATCGCTGAAGCATAGACCTTGTTTGCCATAAGTCTATCTCGTTTTCCCACCTTGTGCCATGACATTCCCGTGTCATGCCAAGCATTAAGTCGTGACCTTGCGATCCGTGACATCGGGCTCACCAAATTTGATCAGTTGATCAAACACAGGCTCAAATTTCTAAATCAATTGAGTTGCCTCAATTCTCTGCAAGAGATTATTCACGGTCTTGAAACTTAAACCATTAATTTTAACTCAAAATTGAACAAAATCAATACAAAATTTTAATTCGACATCAACCCTGGATGCACGAGGATTAGGGCTCAGTTTCACCCACATTCTATACACCAAAACACCCCCAACTCCATTGCCCAACTTCGATTCCAACACAGAGAAGATTGACCCTCAAAATCACGAAGAATACAATGAAGTCATTAACCAAGAATGAAGAAGACGTCCATAAATTTTGGTGTGCAATGTTCAGGCTTTTTCTTCATAATGCATCAAATCACTAACCGTCACATTTATATTAGTGAACGACTACAAATAATTTTATTTTCAAATAGTGAAGTTCGATTAAGATACATCATCTCCCCAGGGTTGTTTGGCAGCACAAAAGCTAACCATCTTAACAGTAAGAATTTATTTTAATCAGTTACCTATAAGTATATATCCAAACGTATTTCCTTTTAGTTGGTGGCTTTGAACTTAATCTTAAGGGTGATTATATTGCTATCATAATTTTTACATGATACATCACAATTTAATTGCAGTTAAACTCCTCAATTTTTGCTCATTGTAATAATTATTTCCTTAACTTTTTTTCTGACAATTTCTTATCTTTAACATTACATTAATCAATACATCTCATTCTTAATAATGATTTATATCAAAATATTTTGTTTTTATGTTTTGAAACGAGGGAAGAATAAACTTGAGGGATAACTCAGTAGTCAGGTCTTGTGTTTACTCTCAAATGGTCACCAATTCTAGTCCCCTCAGAGTCGTTGATGTGAGTATTTAGCTGTAAATTTCAGGGTCCTGTGGAATTAGGCGAGTTGCTCGTAAACTGCTCCAAACACCCATGGTCATAAAATTAATAAAAAAGACAAGGGAAAATTTTTTTTTACACTTTTTTTTACTTATTTTTAAAAAATATGATGAAAAATAAGTTGTTTTACTTCATTTCAATGGGCTTTTGGATATGAAATTGTTATGAAATAGAAATTGTTTTAATTAATAAAAACTTTGAGGATAAGAACAACTTGAGAAATTGTTACAGACATAAGTGCTATAATGAAAAAAGATCAATAGCTTTAAGTACAATTAAAATATTATGCAAAAAATAAAATTTCAGGACTGCTAGTCAAACAGGGACTCTAGACAGTGTATTAAACAGGGATTTACCTCAGCCCTTGATAAGAATTTATCGAGGGCTGAGGTGAATCCCTGTTTAAAACCCTGTATAAAGTCTTTGTTTCAGAAGCATCTCTCAAAAAAGTCGTAGTGTGAATATTGCCTTTTTTTTTTTTTCCACATTCTTTAGTTCTTCCAGTTTTTTCCTTCTTCCTTTCAATTTCCTGTTCTTAACTCGTAATTTCTCTCTTAACAGAGGTTTAATTCCACAAAAGAAGAATCCGCACAATGCAGAATATGATCTCAGGCGTTTTTCTGCAGTTAGGATGAGGGTTAGATAATCAGAAACAATGGAAGTTGATTTGCACTTGAACGTAAATCGACAAAGCTATTGTTTCTGGTTCTCTAATTCTCATCCAAACTTGCTACAAAGAAGTATACCTGCATCATTTTGGCACGTTCATGTCAAGTTCACAAAATTCAAGAATTTCAAAATTCATAACATTTTGGTACGTTCCATTTCAGTAAGACTTTGAGAGTAACGATTTTCCATACGTGCTTTTATTTATGGTGCGACTAACAATTTTACAATTTATGATGGTTGGAATTTGGTTCAAGATTAGACTTTGAGAGTAACGATTTTTCATACATGCTTTTATTTATGGCGCGACTAACAATTTTACAATTTACAATGGTTGGAATTTGGTTCGAGATTATCAAGAAAGTGGAAGTCAATGATCAATTAATAATCAATTTTGCCAATACAATGTCAAATATTAAAGAATAATTCATCTTGAACAGGCTCAAAAATAGAATTGCAGGAAACAGATTGACGTGTGAATTAATGATTGTGTGTTATGGTTTTTCTTCTTCTTCAAACTTTCCAATCCCGAGTCAACACGTGTCTTCCCCGGTTTTGAATCTATCTCCAAGCTTGTTTATATAGCACGTCTGAAAATTAAAGCCCGTGCCATGTTTTTTACTAAGGCTTGGTGAACCTGACTGTTAATTTATCATCAATTAACATGCATGAAATAAGTCCATGTTTGGTATCATTTTTTAATTTTTTTTAACAACATATTTCATGGGATCCATAATTTTTTTTTATCAAATTTTCAATCGTATATTTTATCAAAACCTGTTTAAAATATATTTTTAGCAAAATCAAACATGGGTTAAAACTTAATAATTTGTGGATATTCTATTAATTTGAAATTGTCTAAGAGTCCATTTGACTAACTTTTGTGAAGTTGAAATGAGATTTTGAGACTCAAAAATTGATTTTAGAACCGTTTCGTTAATTTTATAAAAATGTATTTTCTAGTTAAAAGAGTTTTTAGTAGAAGATGACTTAATGCAACTTTCTCTAAAAGTTCTATAAAAAAGGGAAGCTCTTTTAAAAATTAGTTTTCGACACCAATTAAGATAACTTCAACAAACTCTTTTACAAGATGTAAAAATAAATATAGAAACCTTACCAAACAGACCTTAAGATTTCTAATATAGGTTAATTATGAGAGGGAAAAAATCATAAATCAAGCTTTAAGTATGGCTACTTCAAATATCAGGCCCAAAGTTCTAAAATGCAAAAATCAGGTTTCTGTTAATTAATTAAGAATATTTTATTAATCAAATATATTAAGATCACATATATACTATTCGTGGTCACAGATACGTACTTAAAGGTCACAATATCACATATTATGAAATTAATTGATCATAGATTTTTTCATCGGTTACAGATCGAAAATATTATACGTTACAATTTTTTTTTGTCGGTAACAGATTTTCAAATTAGTTGGTCACATATTATTTTTAAGTCACAAGTTATCGAATTTTTAGGTCACAATTTATTTGTCCATCACAGATTTGGTCACAAATTATTTTTAAATCACAAGTTATAAAATTTTTTGGTCACAGATAACCAAATAGTTGGTCACAAACCACTGTCACTCGCCACCAACATCGCCTTCACACCATCGCCAGCACCACCACATCAACATCATACCACCACCATCATCACCACCACCACCGCACCACCACTACCCCAACACCGCACCACCACCACCACCACCACCATAGTATCAACACTGCCAAAGGTACCGTACACAGTACCAACAACACCACCACACATACCATCACAAGCAGATCACACCAACCCGTCACAGACTCACCACTATCGCCAAATCCACCTTAAATCCACCGCACCACCATCTACATCGTCCACCACCAACACCATCAACATCTGCGACTTTTACCGTTCAATTTTCGGCAGCACAACTGGTTACGATTCTTGCAACAAATCGCCGTTCAACGTTCTGCAAAATCAGTTGCCATCTTCGGTCTGAAAAGTAATGGCACAACATATCTTTTCGGCGGCGATTCTTCACTCGGCGATGCTGCTGAAATTATTGGAGTTTGGAGGAGTGGGTGGAGATATTTGGCCGCCGAGCTCCTGGCAGCAATGATGGCAGGCGGCGACAACAGGAAATGATTGCCGGAATGGTATAGATGGGAGAGAGGCGAGGGTGTGTTTGAGCGAGAGAGGAATATGAAATGAAATGAATTAGGGTTTTAATATATAGGGACTTGATTTGTGCACAATAAAACTTCATCCTAAACTTTTGAACTGTGATCTTTAAGTACCTGGATTTATGTAATTTCCACATAATGAGAATGGAAGTAATTTGGGCTTAATCCAAGTGGACAGGCCACTTTGAAATAGCCTATTTTGGGCTTAATCCATGTGGACTGGCCCATTAGAGTCGACCGGTCTGGCGAATTGCCGATCGGCTCTCTGAATCTCTCAGTTTAACACTCTAGGGTTTAAGAACCAAGTTTTGAACAAAAAGGCCAAAAATGGCGTCGAATTGTGCTAGAAAACTCGTTCCACGATCCCCTGCTTCTGCAAAGACCTTATTGAATCGCATCCAATCATCGCCTTCCATTTCCACGGGACCACCGAAGCTCATAGGACAAGCATCCACCACCGGGGTCTCTCAAGTCTCCCCTCGCCACCGCTCCTTCTTCTCCTCCAGGTTCGCATATACGTGTTCATTTTTATGTTTTTTGCTAATTATTATTGATAGTAAGATTAATATGTGGTTTATGAATATTCAGACTACCGGTGGAGCTGAGTTGTGGTGAGTCATTGATGCCACTGCACTCGGTGACTGCCTCTGTATTGCTAAAGTCAATGCTGTCATCTAAGGTTGGCCAATGGGGCTGTCTTTCTGAAGGTATGCATTGGAGCACGATTTCTACATTACTTATTAATTACTGAATTTGTCGCCATTGAAATCTTCACGAACATTTTTAGAAATGTAAGAGTGCTGCAGTACTTGTTTGATGCTCAGCTTATTGACTCATTTACACTTATTTGGATATTTTAAATATTTGTCGATAAAGCTCAAACTGTTTTATTTCTTATTCATATGAAAAAGGTATATGATTCAGCCTTGTTTCATCTAAAAGCTTAAGAATAGCAGCATTTGTGACATTGTGTCTTGTGGATTTTTATTTTGGGACTTGAGTTTGTTTATTATGATGTATGACTATGCATCTATTGAGTTAACATAATCACTTAATGACTAAATAACACTTGAATTTTGTTTTGTCCACTCACCTCTTGTTAAGACTTGGGATTCCATCTTAAATGGTCAATCTTGTTAAGAGGAGTAACCAAAAACCTTATGTTGATGTATGTTTTTATCTTTATTCAATGTGAAATTTTATCCCTTAACATGCCTACAAGATGTTGTCTCGTTTGAGCAGACCAATCTTGAAATCCGTATGCTCATTTATTGAGTTTTAATCGGATCGAATCACTTTTTGGAGTTTAATGGGCTTTGATATCATGTTAAGGCTTGGGGTTCCATCTTAAAAAGTCAGCCTTGTTAAGAGGAGTAGTTTAAGACCTTATAAGTTGGTTTATGTTTTCATCTTTATTCAATGTGTGATTTTATCTCTTAGCACCTTTTAAGGATAATCTCACTATGCATTAAGCTCTGGGAGTTGAAACATAAGGTAATACTGACAAGGATTTTTATGTCGGAGTAAACCTAAATGTCTTTAAATGTGAGGAAAAAAAGGGGTAAAAGATGATGTCATTGTTTACAACATAATAAAACTTTCAAGCATTGACGCCTAACCTGGATGTTAGGAACTCCACTTCTACTGGGACTAATTTATTGAAGAAGGAAGACATACGTTGTTTTTATCAGTATTTGTATCAAAGTGTAGTAGAGTATGAATATTGGGGGTGTAGGCAGATTCCCATGGTGAGAGAGGGAGGGGGGGGGGGGGGGTGTATGCTATTAAGATATTGAAAAGAATAGAGGTAATGGTCTACTAGGTATTTATAGAATTTTGTTTGTACTACATGGCTACTGGTCGTCTTAATAGGATGTTACAAATGCGCATGAGTTTGTGCTACAATTGGTCTTTTAAAAAAATGTAGCAGTTTCTAAATGCATAAGTTGTGCTATATGGACATCGCAGTTTAAAGATTTGATTACCAGCAGACGATGTGACGAGATTTGATTGAGTCAAAACCTCACTAACCAAATAATAAAAAAAATAAAATTGTGCCGTTTTCTTTTTGTCAAAATATCAATTTGTAAAAGAATATCTAAATGGGGATGTACAACAATCATTTTCTAACAAGATATTACCCTGCATTTGAGGACTGAACAAACTACATTAGAGTAATGAAATATCCCATGGCATCATGTCTGCTCAAATCCAATATATTAAGCCACCGGTGATTCTGTTCTCTTTTTCCTTGCCTTATTGTTTTATGTGCACATTTAGGGAGGGAGCAGGTTTTCATCATGCAAATTATACGGTATTAATAAAATTGTTTTGGATGTGTGTGTGTGTGTGTGTGTGTTTTTTTTTGGTGAGTGTGTGTGTGTGTGTGGGATGGGGTGGGGGATTTTGCTCTGTGACAGGTTTTGCTACACCACTATAACATTCCCTTTAAGCTCTTGGGCATACAAGATGATGAGAAGACCACCTCGGATAATACCATCCTTGTTCTTTCTTTGACGAGAATTACTTGTAATGTCAAATGATTATACTTGTGTGTTAAATGTGACTGCACGATTTATTCAGTCTCCTTAATTTTTGAAATGTTACACTGAGATTAACATTGAAGGTGGTAGAATTTCCTGATTATTTATGTTGTTAATGTACTCACTTGCCTCTGAGCTATATTCAAATTGGTTGAGTTCATAGCCATCCATTCTTCGCTTCTTTTAGCTTAAATGCATGATATATATGTAAAACCATTGAAAATGCACAGAAGTAAAAGGTTTCTTGATCACCGTTTCCTAGTCTACTGGATTTGAAGGTTGGTTTTTAGTTTTTACTATAGAGGGAGACAGTTGAGATGCCGATAAGATTGAGTTCGAGAAAAAGCTTTTATTTGTTCAGTTGTTCTGCACGCCCAGGCTCAAAGCCAGGGCTAAATATGGGGGGCCAAGTGGCGCCCCCCTATTGGAGGGGGGTCTGAAAATTTCACCCCCCCTCCAGTAGGGGGGCGCCACTTGGCCCCCTGTATTTAGCCCGCCTGGGCAAGAAGTATTTTTCTTATTTGTTGGGCTCCTTTGTGAATGTTTGCCTAACCTTTAAAAACTTATGAGTTTTGATAGAAGCAAGTTTTTGTTGATTAAATTTGAAATGAGTTATTTTGGTAGCATCTCTCATTTTAGTCAAAATTAGTAAGTTTTTACATATTTGAGAACATAAATGCTCCATGTATTGTGGCTTTTGCCTGTCAGTTGTAAGATATTTACATGGTGAATGCAAGATAAATTTCTTCCATTTGATTGTTGGCAAAGCAATGAGTCATGGTTGTGGTACCAAGTAAAAGTGTCTTAACTTATAAGACAAAGCCTTGTACGTTTCATCATCATGATGTTATTAACAAATTCTGGATCGAATGAACTATTTCTCAAAATAGAAACTGCTCTCAAATTGAATTCTTGTACAAGCATTAATTTGTCAAGAGAAGAGACTATATGTAGTTTTGGAGAGAGATACAACAGTAAACGTAGATTTCATTATCGACAGAAATCCTGCAATCAAATTGTGCCATGAACCCTGAAGAATCGTCTTCAGAATAGAAATTGCACAAATATGTGACTGATCATTGAATACAACTAATCTTTGCTGTAATGAATGAAATTGATTGCTTGACAAGTAATCCTTAGATCAAAAGTCTTGAAAACATTACAGACTTGAATTAATACGACAGGATTACATAAACACAATGAATTACTATAATAGTTAACCTGCAATATTGTAGCTCGGGTTGGTAAGATTATTTAGGCCAGATACTACCTGCACTGACTCTATAACATCTCCAACCTTTAGGTCTGCCAAAAAATCCGAATCCGAACACTGCATACTGACCATCCAATACGTTGGCATTGCTAGGAGTTAGTTCACTTTCGTTTAATCGCCAAAATACCTGGCTCGAACCAGAGTGGTTATCAAATTCCTGTCAGCAATGAAATTAATTGATTTAGAAAAGATAAATAGCTACCAAATTAAGTGAATTCTATGTGATTTTGTCAAATCAGTTCTATGTGTTCAGAATTCTCACCTCTCTGGCCATTGCCTTAGTTCCAAATGCATTAAATGGAAGCATCATTTGAACCTTGTTGTTAAAGAACAAATAACTTAGCACCGAACTGCCAAAGGGGTCTCAAAAGGGCCTTTCATGGTAACAATATAAGGGTATCTCAAAACTTACTTCCAGAGTTTCTCCATATAAGGGCGCCTTTTCTCCATTCACCATTCTACTTTTTCACTTTTTTTTTTTTTGATATCCAGGTATCCCAACTTACACTAGACTAAATCTTGGACCACCAAGACCCTTGCTCCTAGAACCTTGGAGGGGGTAAATCGCGGGTTATGCCTCAATTGGATCACAGGTTCATCCCACCGCCTGTACACTTCTGCGCACAAGAGATCCTCCTCCAAGGTGATTGCTCCATACCAAATAAATCTGACCGCAGGTTTCCACCAGGATTCGAACCTCCACCCTGCCGCTGGAAGTAAGACAAATGTTGATTGATCCACTAGTTGAGCTGTGCCCCGGGGGCACCATTCTACTTTTTCTTCTGGGTGAGATGGTGTTGTTTGCCGTTATGATTTTCATAACACTCCATTTCTTCCACTGCCACCAAGCAAGATCCATGTTTGTGGGTATAATCTGTGATATTTTTGGTATCATTACGTACGGATCCCCTCTCTCCATCGTTGTAATTAAATTTTCCACCTATTTAGATTATATACTCTCTTTTTCAAAAGATATATATTGATCATGTTTCTTATTGGTAATAACAGAGAGGTATTCAAAACAAAGAGTGTAGAATTCTTGCCATTTTGGCTGTGCTTGGCTGGTTTCATGAATGGACTCTTCTGGTTTACCTGTGCTTTCCTCGAGACATTCGATGCCTATCTCGCTGTAAGTTCATTTTGCAAAATAGCTTAATTCTTGAATTTGCAAAGTTTTTAAGGTTTTAATTATCTATTTGATAGGACTTGTGCTTTTGCTTTTGATTCTTGTAAAAAAGTTAATTTGACACATATGAAACACTTGTGAAGTAGTATGAGATCACAATTTAGCATTGCGGATAAACCCTAATTCCTACATCGACAACAAAATAATCAAGAATTGATATGTTATAAAATTTTTGGAAAAAATAGATTTTCATAACAAAACTTCAATCAGTAGAGACTATTTAATTTGGTATTTTGCAACTTTTTTCCAATAAATTTATGCATAGGATAAATTTGGTCAATTTTATCCTAATTCTCTAATATGTAACTAAATATATAAATTATATGTTACAAAGTTGTTACAATTTCATTACATATTACATATTGTTACTACAAAAGAGCATTTCCCAAAAATAAAATGAGAAAAAGGAAAGAGGAATCTAGCGAAAAAATTGATTGGGCAGAAAACAGCAAACAAGACCTAACATTTTTCACTTGAGATCCGAGTGGGTTTACAATGGGTATCCACTTTAAGAATTAGATTTGGTTTATTGGGCCCAGGAACTTTTGAACCCAACTTTCATTAAGTTTTATCCAATAAAGGATAGCCCATAATATTGGGCTCTTAAAGCCCAACTCATCTGACTAGGTCACAAAGCCCAATTGGCATAACCATTAAGAATTAAAGTTCGAGAAAAATAGGACCAATCCTTCATTTTTCTGTAGACGAAACTTAGGTAACTGAGAATTAATTTGAAAAGTCAATAATTTTGGAAATTAATTAAAATATTTGAATTTTATCCCAGCTTCAAATTAAACGTCATGTTTACTTATGAGGTCACCTTCACGTAATTATCATTTAAAATACGGGAAGTGAAATAACATACAAAATTTATCAATTGCAGTTATTTCATAGCTCAAAATATGTGCAAACGAGACTTCATGTGACTTCGACATGTATTTATAAGGGTCATAATCGAATAATTATAAGTTCCTCTAATTATAGAAGTTATAAGGGTCATAATCGAATAATTATAAGTTCCTCTAATTATAGAAGTCTCATTTTAGGGTAGATTTAATAAAATATTGATCGTATAGGGGCCGTCATAATTAATCTATGATCAATGGTGCAATTTTCGAATTTTCGGTTACATTCATTGCGTATATAAAAGCTTGAACCCCAATCTTGAGAGTCTCCACTACCCCGTCCTTAGAGGTTTGTGATGGAGGTAAATCGCGTGATGTGCCCTAACAAGTAGGGAATAAGAGCTGCCTGTACATTATACCTACAAAGAATCCAATTATATGTCTCAGGAATCGAACCCCCACATTACGGTTGCCAGCAAGGTATGAGATAACCTCACTCCTGTTATTTGTACCACTGGACCATGCCCCGGAAGACCATT